TCCAGAAATCCTTCTGGGATTCCCTCCTCTGTGCTGTTGCAATCTTCTGTGCTCCCCTTCGTCACTATTGATCATAAAGCAAAATAAAAAACAAGGAAAATCTACTGCCATCAAGCCAATTCTGACTCATGACGACCCCCATTGGGTTTCCAAGGCTGTAAATATTTACAGAAGTAGATTGCCTCATCTTCCTTCCATGGAGCAGCTGATCATGCTGTACTATAATTGTGAGTTCTTGGACATCCAGGATGGTAAGGCATTAGCTGTGTCCCCAGGGCCTAGTGCAATGACAAGCAGGTGAGGAAAAGCAGCAAGTAGAGTGCAGTGAAAATTGAAGATTGTTAACAACTTCTGCATCTGAAATTGACCAAACCTGCAATCAAGATGCATTGATAATTACTGGTGATTGGAATGAGAAAGCTGGAAACAAAGAAGAAAGATTGGTAGTTGGAAAATATGGCTTTGGTGATAGAAACAACCCTGGAGATTGCATGATAGAATTTTGCAAGAACAACAACTTATTCATTGCAGACACCTTTTTTCCAATAGCATAAATGGTAATTATACAGGTGGACGTCACCGTATGGAATACACAGGAATCAAATCTACTACATCTGTGGAAAGAGATGATGGAGAAGCTCGATATCACACAGAACAAGTCCAGGGGCTTAATGTGAAATGGACCAACAATTGCTCACAGCCAAGTTCAAGTTGAAGCTGAAGAAAATTAAAACTAGTCTGTTGTTGTTATGTGCTGTCAAGTTGGACCTGACTCATAGTGACCCCTCCTTGGGTTTCCGAGGCACTATCATACGGAAGTAGATTGCCCCATCTTCTAGTCTAGGAGGGCCAATTTTAGAGACCATCTGAAGAATAAGACCAGATGTGGGATGACATCAACGACATCATACATATGAGGAGAGCAAAAGGTCATTAAAAACACAGGAAAGAAAGAAAAGACCAAAATGGATGTCAGAAGAAACTCTGAAACTTGCTCTTGAATGGAGAGTAGCTAAAGCAAAGGGAAGAAATGAAGAAGTAAAAGAGCTAAATAAAAGATTTCAAAGGGTGGCTTCAGAAGGAAAAGTAAAGTATTAAAATGAAATATGCAAAGACCTGGAGTTAGAAAACAAAAATGGAAGAACACTCCTGGCATTTCTCAAGCTGAAGAAAAAACCTGAAGAAAAAAATTCAAGCCTGCGTAGAAATAATGAAGGATTCTATGGCCAAAATACTGAATGACAGAGGAAGCATTTAAAGAAGATGGAAGGAATATACAGAGTCACTGTATCAAAAAGAATTGGCCAACATTGACCCATTTTAGGAGGGAAAATATAATCAAGAACCAATGGTATTGAAGGAAGCAGTCCAAACTGCACTGAAGGCAGTGGTGAAAAACAAGCCTCCAGGAATTGATGGAATGACCTATCACAGATATTTCAATAAATGGATGCAATGCTGGAAGCACTCACTCACCTGTGCCAAGCAATTTGGAAGACAGCTACCTGGCCAATCAATTGGAAGAGATTGCTATTTGTGCCCAATCCAAAGAAAAGTGATCCAACAGAATGCAGAAATTATAGAACCAAATCATTAATATCACATGCAAGTAAAATTTTGCAGAAGATAATTTCAAAAACAGTTGTGGCAGTACATTGACAGGGAACTTCCAGAAACGCATGCTGGATTCAGAAGAGGATATGGAATGAGGGTTATCACTGCTGATGTTAGAAGGATCTTAGCTGAAAGCATAAAATACCAGAAAGCGGTCTACCTGTGTTTTATAGACTATGCAAAGGCATTCAACTGTGTGGATCATAACAAATTATGGATAACTGCAGAGAATGGGAATTCCAGAACACTTAATTGTACTCATGAGGAACCAGTACATAGACCATTCGAACAGAACAAGGCAATACTGCATGGTTTAAAATTAGCAAAGGTATGGGTTAGAGTTGTATCCTTTCACCATACTTATTCAATCTGTATGTTGAGCAAAATCCCAAGAAGGTAGACTACAGAAAGAAGAATGTGGCATCAGGATTGGAGGAAGATTCATTAACAACCTGCAATATGCAGATGACACAACCTTGCTTGTGGAAAGAGAAGAGGACTTGAAGCACTTATGAAGATCAGACTTCAGTCAGTATGGATTACATGTCAATATAAAGAGAACAAAATTCTTCACAACTGGATCAATAAGCAACATCACAATACACGGAGAAAAGACTAAAGTTATGAAGATTTTATTTTACTTGCTCCAGAATCAACACCCATGGAAGTAAGAGTAAGAAATCAAATGATGTATTACAGTGGGCAAATCTGCTACAAAACCAAAATGAAATCCAATGCAAAACTGTTGTTGAGGCAATTCTGACTCATAGTGACCCTGTATGACAGCACAGAACTGTCCCACAGGGTTTCCAAGGCTGTAATCTTTACAGAAGCAGACTGCCACATCTATCTTTCACAAAACAGCTGGTGGGTTTGAACTGCTGATCTTCTGGTTAGCAGCCAAGTTCTTTAACCACTGTACTAACCTGCTGCAAAAAGACCTCTTTAAAGTGTTAAAAAGTAAAGATGTTACTTTGAGAACTAAGATGTGCCTGACCCAAGCCATGGTATTTTCAATCACCTCATGTATATGAAAGCTGGACAATGAATAAGGAAGACCCAAGAATTGATGCCTTTCAATTATGGTGTTGGCGAAGAATATTGAATATACGATGAAGAATGAACAAATGTGTCTTGGAAGAAGTATAGCCAGAGTGCTCTTTAGAAGTGAGGAGGGCAAGAGTTCATCTCATGTACTTTGGATATGTTACCAGCAGGGACTCATCCTGGAGAAGGAAATCATGCCTGGTAAAGAAGAGAGTCAGCAAAAAAAGGAAGCCCCTCAATGAGACGGACTGACACAGTGGCTGCTACAATGGACTCCAACATGGTAACAATTGTGAGGATGGTGCAGGACAGGGCAGAATTGTGTTGTGCTATGTAGAGAGAGGGTCATCATGAGTCGGAACCAACTCAACAGCACCTAACATCAACAACAACAGTGCAATGGCAACAACCCTGGAGTTAGGTGGATCCAATTCAACTCCCCCTCCACCATTTAACTCGGCCAAGGCCACACAGCAAGTAAGCCTACTCCTGGTTTTTTATCTGTAAAATGGGATTGAAAATGGTGTTGTGGAGTTTAAGTGACTTCACATAAAATTAGAATAGTACCTGACACATAGTAAACACTTGAGTATTAGCTAGTATTATTACTAGGTAATCAGTAAATATTTCACCCACTAATGGATGAAGGAGAGAATGAGAGTGAAGATAATTAGCCAAACAAAGTTAGCACATGCCAGAAGTCACACTGACCCAAAATAAATAGAGATATTTGATGTTTGAGTGAGCTGGGGACAACAGTTCTTACGGCGGCGTGGCGTTCCATACAGTAGGCCTCGGGGCAGATCTTATGCAGTAGTCAGAGACACAGGGCCCAAGCTCCCCCAGACAGACCCTTCTGAAAGCTTCCTCTTCCACTGTGAGCCTCTGTAGCAGATAAGAGGCCTTAAGCCTTTTAAAGACACAACCTGCCATTTCCCTACAATAACAGTGTTTTCTTGCACTACTGGCCTATCCAAGGACATTCCTGCTGGCCACCCCCTCTTCCTTCACCATTACAAACAGCAGACTCAGATACCAACTCCTGACTGACTTCACATGAATAAACAAGAGATGGGAGAGATGAGTCGTCCAGGCCTGGGGCTTATTCCCAGACTCAGGCACTCCTTCAACCACAGCCTAACAAACCTCACCCGTCTTGTTTCCGCAAACCAGCAAAGAGGAGCCCAGCAGAGATCAGGAGTGTGGGCTTCAAAGTCAAAAGGCCTAAGGTTCAAATTACAACTCCAGCAAGTCTCTTCCCCTGTCTGAGCATTAGTCACTGCATGATAGCGTGTCACGAAGCCCTCCCTCCCTCACTGGATTATGCTGTAAAGTAATTGGCACTGTGCAGGGCACACAGCAAACCCTTGGAAAAGGGTGAGGAGTGGGCAAAAGCACCAGTAATAAGCAAGGCAGCTCCCAGGGAGTGAGCATAAGCTGGCTCTGGACCCAAGGCCAGTGGAGGAAGACCAGGAGCTCCCTGACTTCCCAGTGACCCAGGAATGTTGATGGAGGCCTGTGGCTGACCTTCCGGAGTCTGTTGTGGCAGTGCTAATTGGGGTCTCCCGGTCACCAGCTTCCCACCCTTATGGAGGCTAGGATGGTTCCCCCTCCCCGTGCAGCCCGGGCGGCAGTAGCACTAACCTACTGAGGTGTCGGCTGCACCAGTTTAACGGAAGCACAGTGGGCAGCAGAAGACAGATGGGGCAAGGGGTGGCCAGGGGCCAAAGGCCAGCTTTGGGAAGAGGAGGGGTGAGACAGAGGGTCAGAAGGCTTAGACAAAGAGCATAATACCCCCTGCTGCTAGAATGGCTTTATGCCAGGCCACATGGGAAGTTTATACTTCAAAGGGGTTTCTTCTTTCTTTCCTCCTGTCCTTCTCTCCTTCCTTGACCAGCTGATAGTGCGATCGCAGGAGAAAGCCCAGACTGCAGAGTCAGGCAGACTTGCTTGTGATTCCAGCCTAGTCCTTCCCTAAGTCTGTTAGTCCGGGTATGTTACTTCAACTCTTTGAGACTATTTCCTCATCTGCAAAATGGGCGGTGTACTCATACCACCCAAAGGTTGCTGTGAGGTTTAAGTGAAGTCATGTGTATAAAGCACTTGGCCCGAAGCCTGGACACAGAGGAGACTGAACAAACCCCAGCCTTCATAACTATCACCATCGGCTTTCACAGAGGGGACTCTAGATGAGTCGGTGCTGCCTACTGTGCAGGTGGGAATGGGAAGATCCCCGCGGTCCTGAGAGCAGGTAGAGCCTTGCCTCCCTCCCAGATGAACCCAGCCCTTGGCCAGGCTCCTGGGCAGAAGACGTGGGGGACATGCTGGAGAGTCCTCACCATGCACTTGCGGTCGTCTATGCCCGTCAGATCCTCCTCAAACTCCTTCCCGATCTGGAAGTCCATGATGTAGTTCCTAAAAGTGCTCAGCGTACGGATGATCATATGGTCGCCGTCCTGCACGATCTCTTTGTCTGGCTTCAGCAAGTTGGCGATCTTGCGCAAGGCCACATTCACATCTGCAGGAGTAGAAAGAGGCAGACAGTTGGCAAGGAAACTTCGGAGAACCGTGCCCAGAGTAGCAGGGGCTCCAGAAGCCCGCTGGGCTCGGAACACCTTTAGGGCTTCCCGATGGCTTTGCTCTGTCTATGCGAGCAGCCCGTCTGTGGCTTTATTTGCAACAAAGTTTTCAGCCCTTTTAAGACAAAAACTAGCAAACCAAGTCCAGCTTTCCTAACGAAATTACCTACGTCTTCCAGGGCCAACTACCAGACATTTGCCGCTAATTAGCCCCGACAACCCTCAGTCCTCCAGTTCGCAGGATGCTGACCACCCTAAGCCGTGGCCGCGGACGCCCTGGCCTGCGACTCGCCCCGGCCGAGAGCTGGCGACGTGGGCTCGGGACGGCTACGGGGACCCGCGGAGCTGCGTCGCTGCGCCCCCGGGGCGAGTGTGCCGGGCAGGGGCTTACCGAGCGCGCGCAGGTACTCCTCGAAATTCTCGTTGGTCAGCATCTTCCAGTACCCGGTGAAATCGACCGGCATTTCGGCAGGCGACTGGGGCTGGACTGCCAAGGACCGGGCGGGGGCGGCTCTCGATTCTGCCCGGACAGCAGCTACCGAGGCGAGCGTGGCAGTGGGCGGCCCGGAAATGCGCGCCCTCAGGGGGCTGGGGGCTCGGTGGGGCGGCGACAGCTGGATTCCAAGCTCGCACAAAGGCCGCAGGAGGATCCATTGTATCTGTCGCTCCTCCCCACTTAATGGGGCGGGGGCGGGGACAGGGGCAGAGGGTGGCGGAGGGCCAAGTTTGTTTCTGACGGCGGCTGCCTCCATCCAGACCTTCAGTTCGCGTCCCAATAAAGGAAGAGATTGGGGCGTGGTTACTTTATTGGCCCCACTTCTTCGGTTCCTTCGGGATTCCTTCAAATTCCAAGAACTTCTCACATTCAGCGGCCACTTGATGGTTGGTAGACAGTCTCCGCGGATTTGCTGGAGTGATTGGCTTTGTCAACAACCTTGAGCTGGTGGACAGACTGGTGGGTGGCTAGGGTCGGAAAACTTGGTGGTTCAACTCAAGACGAGAAAAATGTGGGGCATTCACCACATCCCTCTCCAAAAATTAAAGGTAGAGTTGATGTTGTCCGAAGTGGAGATGTCTAGAAGAAGCCCCACCACCTTTTGTCCCTGAAAGCCCAACCCTCCAGCGCTTCACTCAGTACCTTCCCCGTTGTGGTTGGTTTCCCAAGAAACCAATAAAAAATCGAATCCTCTGGGAAAAGTCACCCAGCACTGTGTGTCACACACTGGACTAGCCATTTTGCACTTTAACTCACTTATTTCTCTTATTATCCCAGAGGAAGTGGGGTCAAGTTACTAGCCCAAGGATGCAAGTATTAAGTGGCCTGGATGGGGCTGAACCCAGGGTCTCCTGAATAATCAGGGGGCTGTATGAGGGTGGGGTGGTGCAGTCTGGGCTCTGTAAGGCTAGTTAGCCTGAACCCTCTCAAGTCCCAGAGGCCTAGGTCCACTTTGCACCTGTATTTGCACATTGGGAGATCTCACCATTTGCCTGCTTATCAAATAAGCAATCATTTGCTTATTGCCACCTGCTGTGTCCTGGGGGATGGGAACTTTGGTGGTTCAGTGGTAGAATTCATGGCACAGTATCTAAGGTATTTGACTGCTAACCAGAAGGTTGTTGATTCAAACCCACCAGCCATTCTGCTGAAGGAAGACAGGACAATCTATTTTTGTAAAGATTTACCACCTTGGGAACCCAATGGGGGTCACTATGAGTTGGAATCAACTCAATGGCAGTGGGTTATGTGCAAAACTTGGGTTCCGTTCAGGCCAATGCATCATATGTGAAGCTTCCACCCATCTGTCAGTGTAAGCTTGTGTTTCAGCAACTCCATTGCTGAATAATGGACTAAGTCAGACTAGGAAAAGAGGCTTGGTCATCTACTTTTGAAAATCAGCCAGTGAAAACTCTATGGATCACAACAGTCTGATCCCCAATGTGCATGGGATCTCAATGAACAATAACAATATCCTGGCAGAGAAGACCTGGCCCACCCAGGGGGCCCCTGCTCTGATAGCTCTGAGCACTGTATATAAACCAAAGCCAACCCATTGCTGTCAAATTGATCCAGACTCACAGAGATACTGCAGGACATGGTAGAAATGCCCCATAGGGTTCCAAGGCTATAATCTTTATAGAAACGGACTCCCACACCTTTCTCCAGCTGAGCACTGGTGGGTTCAAACCACTGACCTTTCAGTTAGCAGCCTAGCACTTACCCATTGCACCACCAGGGCTCCTTTAGGCCTGGAATGCAGACAGACAAGTCCATAAGCAGGGAAAGTGAGCTCTGCTGCCCTGAAATCAGGGTGGGGAGAGTGGGAAAGGTTTCAGAGCCCACCTGATGTTCCACAGATCCAACATGCCCAAATTAAATTGCCACCAAATTAAATTTCCTATTGCATTTGTTTGCTTTCATCACTTTTTGAGTTGTAGCTGCTTTCTAATAAGTAATTCAGAAGATTCAAAATTCAAAAAAAATACAGAAAAGTACACAGTAAAAATTGTCATCCTTACCCCTGCCTCTAGTCCCCCAGTTCCCCTCCCCAATGGTACCTGTGCCTTGTTAATGCTTCCAGAGGTTCTTCATGCAGTACTTCTCAAAGTGTAGTCCCCAGAACAGCACTACAAGCATCATCTGGGAACTTGTTAGAAATGCACATTCTCGAGCTCAACCCAGCCCTTCTAAAGCAGAAGCTTTGGGATGAGGTCCAGAAACCTGGGCTTTAACAAGCCATCCAGGTGATGACCCTCCAGGTCCTCCCAATTTGAAAACTACTGCTTTATGCAAATATCAGCTATTAACCAATACTGACATTATCATCCTTCCCTTTTCACTCCGCAGAGTTCTTCACTTTACTGTTTGTATTTGGTATATTCTGGAGACCTTTCCATATATCTACATCAAATATACCCTCATTCATTTCACAGCTTCAGGATGTTTCATTGTTTATGCAGCATGTCCTCTCCTGATGGACAATATCATTGCTTCTGATCCTTTACTATTAGGAACAGTACGGCAATGAAGATCCTTGATTATACCCCATTTTCCACCTGTGCTGGTGTGTCAGCACACCTTAAAACGTCTGTCTTTGCCACCAAGAAAATGGCATAATCATATGGGTTGACTTTTTGACCCCCTATTAAAGACTAAATGTCTCTTTTAAATTGCTTTTTGCACAAATCACAGCCTTAGGAGATGGTAGGTACCTACCTCCCTCACCCCCACCCTGCCCTAGTACTGCCATGGCACCCCACGGGGCTCATGTTAGCTCTCACTGTATTTTTGGCTGAATTAGGAAAAGGGGCACCTTCATCAAGGTGGAGGCAGCTTTGTCCCCAGAGAGTAGCTTGGATCCCAGCTCCTCTTATTTCCATGCTCTACAGCAGGGCTTCTCAACCTTAATACTGCTAACATTTTATGTCAGATAGTTCTTTGTTGTGGGGGCTGTCCTGTGTGTTGTAGGATGTTTAGCTGCATCCCTGGTTCCTACCCACTACGTCCCGTAGTATATACTCCCTCCTGCGCTCTGTCACTAAACTCCTGCCTTTCCGTACTTCCTCCCAGGTGGCTTCTCTCAGGTGCAGGTCTTGGTGGCCCCAGAGACAACCAGGGTTGGTTGTGTGCACATGCTCAACAGGCAGATTGTCTGGTTTGAAGCTGGCTGTGTCACTGTCTAGCTGAATGGGCTTAGGTAAGTTACTTATCCTCTATGTGCTTCAGTTCCCACATCTGTAAAATGGGGACACTGAACTCTCAAGGTTGTGAGGCGTGAAGGAGCTAAGGGATATAAGGGCATAGTTCAGAGTACTGCTCCAGACATTTCTTCATTTAGAAATGAAGCAATAGGTAAGGGAGAGATGGGTGCTGGTCTGTGCTTCCTTTGTGGGGCCTTAACATCAACCCACTGGGGCAAAATGTAAAATGTTCTGTGGAAGTGCTGAGGAAGCATTAAGTACCATCAGGTTTATCCATCCTCAGCCCACACCATCATGCTCAATTTAATCCATTGATCAGAAAGTACTTGAGAGCGCCTTTCTGTCTAGGGTGATAGCACTTGGGATGTGTAAAACAAAGAAAGAGCAACCAAGGAAGAGGGAGGGGCTCTGTGGCACTGGCAATCAGTGAGGGCTCCCTGGAGGAGATGAGGCTCTGCCAGATCTTGAGGACAGCCAAGATGGGTGGGGGGTGCACGGGAAAGCAGATGATTGTGGAAGGAATGGGCTGACTGGTTAATTAGAGAAAGAGAGGGGGGGGGCAAGTACACTAGGACACCTCTAATTGGGCTTGCTTTATCCACTGCCTTTAAAGAAAAGCAGTGGAGATCGAATATCAATTCTTGGAGGCCCAAAGACCCACCAAAGCTATGAAAAAGACCAACCAGGGGAGTAGGGAACCACCCTGAGACTATGTGTAGACAGGGGGATAGACAGATACCCCAGGCAATCTTAGTTTAGGGGTGGCTGAGGAGAGGAGAGGAGAGACCTAAGCACCCCTAGGTGGGACTTCTGGTGAGGGAAGCTCAAGAAAGCTGCTCTGAACTCTCCCTGTGAGGAGAAATGTGCCTTTTCATTCTTTAACTGCTCATTCTGCCCCACTAGGATCAATAGAGCTCAGGGAAGGATCTCAGTGAAATTATGTGATTTCCCATGATCCTTGCAACCAGCCCGTGAGATGGGAAGTGCGATCCTATATCCCTGCAGGACTAAGCAGCTGGCCCAGGGGTCCTAATTGTTGAGGCCAGAGAACTAGCTGAGGGCAATGGGACAGAAGAGAGAACTAGGACAGACCCTGGGACTCTGTCCTTCCCCAAAAGAGGCTCCTCCAAAGATGCTGGGGCAGGCATATATCCCCCACTTCACCCCTGCCTGCTGTGCCAGCTTTCCCACACCTGGACACCCTGTCTGAGCCTCCAGAAAGCCACTTCTCCTAGAAGGGGACAGGTGGCCTCATGATTGTCCCTCAGGATTATAAAGAAAACCTTTCTCCTCTGATTGCACTAGCTCTGACACTGGCTCTGAACCTTCTTTTCTCAAGGTTCAGTGTATTTTAGAGACTTGTGGAATTTTCCCTATGCCCTATGTTCCAATATGTCTCTGGAATTATGTTATAGAGAATAGCCCCCTCTGATCCCTGAGCTATCTGCTGTGCCATCTGTGAGGTTAACATCTGATAGGAAGAAAAGTGGCCCAACAAAGCTGCTTTCCTATGTCCACTGTGTTCTGAATCAAGAGGGCTTGTTAAGAGGCTACAAGGGCTGAGGGGCACTTAGGTCTACTGAAGAAGTTCTTCTTTGATGAGTTCATGAATATTCAAACATGCAAATGAAACATCATGTCTAGAACTTCAGAATCTTAACCCTTCTGTGACCCACAGAACTTATATTGCCTATGGACATTTTCAGTCTCTCATGTTTCTTGGGAAGCTCTGTCCTGGTGGAGTACATGCCACCACATGGCAGGGACTGGTATAACTGCGTGAATCTGAAGAAATGGGCCTCAACCTGCCAATCGTACTATCAGAGTCCACTTGGGACATGGGTACCCCAGAAAATTGTATCAAAATCTGTATTTCCTCAAAACATTTTTCCTTGATTTCAGTAGATTTCTATTAACTGAAAACACATGGTATCAACAAAAGATTCAAAGCAGAA